CGTGTGTGTGTGCTTTCAGGACTGCGGGGCGTCCCGGCAGCGCAGGCGGACTCGCTCTCTGCTGGTCAGGAACGAGTCTCTGGAGGACGAGTTCGTCCGGGCCAAAGCTGCTGTGGAGGTAAGAACGCGCTGACACGGGCGTCCTCGTCACACTGATGTCGTGAACGAACGCTCCTCACACCGAGCCCCGCCTCCTTGCTCTTCCGTCTCCTCTGTGACATACTGACAGGAGGAAACTCTCGTCTTGCAGCTCAGAGTCAGCTGATGCTCAGAAACAGATGGCGTGTACTTCCTGTCACCTGAGCGTCCGCAGGTGTTCTCAGATCAGTGTTGCTGTGAGGTCGCTGCGATTCACCTGCAGCTTCATCAGTTGTTTCATTCGAGCGTGAGGATGATGATGATGATGATTTATTGTTTTATTAACATCGCTGACGCCGAGTCTGACAGACTGTCAGCGTGCAGCTGGTAACACGGTGAAAACCCGCACGTGGCGGTGAAAGCGTGACTCCTCTCCGCCCGTCCTGAGAGCAGCCCGGCCGGTGTCCTCCTGCAGGACGCTCTGCCTGCTGCGCTGCCTCCTCTCTGAAGCTGATTGGCTCTGACAGCGCTGATATTCACGGCGGCTCGAGATGCTCTGGTCACGTAACCAGACGCGCCGCTTTCACATTCATGGCAGACGAGTGTTTAATGATGGACGCCGTCCTGATCCAGTATTTATACGGCGCTGCACATTTAAACTGTGACCTTTCACATAAACCCCCCCGCTGCCCTGCACACATCACTGTTCCTGCCGTACCGCAGAGTGCAGGAAACAACACACAGGATATTTATTTAGTGGCAGCACAGACCAGCTCGAGTCCTCGTGTCTGAGGGAAAAACTAGTTCATGCATTTATTACTTCCAGGCTGGACGACTGTAATTCATTATTATCAGGAAGTCCTAAAAACTCCCTGAAAAGCCTTCAGCTAATCCAAAATGCTGCAGCAAGAGTCCTGACAGGGACTAGAAAGAGAGA